TTACATAAATAATGATTTTAATGAAAAAATAATATTTTAAAATACACTAAATAAAGGAAAACGGAAATAAAAATTTAAATTATAAAAAAATATGATTTTTTTTGATTTTGAAAATAATAAAAAATGGAAATAAAGTTAGTAACAAATAAATGGAAAAAATATTCAAAGTGGAACATGTGAGATTTGAACTCATGACCTTATACTTGCATTTCCTTCCCTTTTACCAATTGTGTCATCTCATTCATCTAAAATAAGAAGCCACTTGAAAGCATATGAACGGTGAGAAATATTTGTTATTTTAAAATATAAATAATTTAAAGTAAACTATTATATATTTCTAAATTAATCAAAATTAGTTAATGTTAAAATGTTAGCAAAATAAATCAAATAAATTTTATAAAATCCAAGTTTGAATATAATTTTGATTATAGAAATAGGGCGAACAAATTTGGAGTATGGCAATGTGATTTCTTATACTGAGTATGAGAAGATAACAAATAGAGACTCAACTAAGTCTATATTTGATTCTTTAAAGATGACTCACGAAGGAAACTCTCAACTTAAGAAGACCAAAGCTTTGGCTTTGATTAAAAAATATGAAAATTTCAAGATGGAAGAATATGAAACGATTGAGACAATGTTCTTAAAGTTTCAAATTATGGTTGCATGACTTAAGGTTCTGAACAAAGGATACTCTACTTAAGATCATGTGAAGAAGATTAACAGAAGCCTTCCAATAAGATGGAGGCCTATGGTAACTGCACTTAAATTGGTGAAAGATATGAACAACACTTCTCTAGAAGATTTGGTGAGTTCTTTGAGAATTCATGAGATTCAGCTGGAACAAGACGAGCCTCATTACTATGGGTATATGAGAATTACATCTCAACTATAAAGATAACTCATGTATAATCTTAAGAAAAGTTTTAAAATGAAAAGATAAGTGGCAAAAAGATTTGAATGAGGTTTTGTGTTTTTTAGTCTTATGAAAAGAGTTTGAGATGCTTAAGGTGTATTGAAGTATTTATTAAAGAAAAAGAAAGTTTGAAAATGCAATGACCTAAGTCAAAGTTTTTTATTGAAAGAGATGTAAGTTTAAAAAATTAGGGTTTAAAGATCAAGATATAAAACAAAGATAGTAAAAAGGAAAGAAACAAGCATACAAGAGGCAAGCACATGACAACAAGTCAACACACGTAATCCCTTTTCCTTGAATTTGGCACAAGAAAACAAGCAAAGTTATAAACCAAGCATCAAAATAATTACACACTTAATGATCCACATGAATAAAGAAATCCAAGCTAAGAGATTATAACCAACGCATAAAAGCCAAGTCAAGATCACAAGTGAACAAGTAAAATCAAATTATCGAAAAGCAACTAAACAATTAAATAATTAACACATAAAATTAATTAAGTTAATTAAAAATATTTAATAAAACTAATTGATCAACATTAGTTTAACTAAATAAAGACAACTAACAAAATTAATTATGATTATTAACAAATATCAAAATAAAACAAATAAAACAAGGTGATAAAAACAAATATGGAGTCATGTTGTAGAAATTAGAAATGGGATGATAATGGGGGAATTCGTTGGGAAAGACTCACACAAAGGCGCAAAGTTATTGTTTTCAGATTTTTTTAGAAAAGAAAAAAAAAAGAAGGAAAATGGGCGTTGGGCATAGAAAACTAGACCGGGTCGGATGAGGCCCAATCTAAAATTAAAAGGGATACCCTCTCATTTGTTCTTCTTTCTCACTTTATCCACTCTGTACGCTATGTTTCTTCTCTCTATGCTATTATTATCTCAATCGATACCCTCTCTCAAATCATCATATTTCTCAACACCAACAATAATAACTCTCTCATCGATTTGATTCAAACTCTCACCTCTTGGTTGTTCTCTCATCGATTCATCATAATAAACAAATAATAACTAACATTCATCTGAAAATCTCATGAAATAATGAACCCTAGCTCTAACATTCCAGCCAAATAATCAAGCAATAACATTAAGCAAAATAAGGTAATCAGAATGATACAAAAAACACAGAAAAGGTCAGAAGAATACCAAATCAGAGAAGACTCTCCGATGATAACCCCAGGATTTTAAGGTAATAAGAATCATGCTTCTTTTTGTTTCTGGATCTACTGCTGGACTATTTATACGATTTTATTGTTGTTGCTACAAGTATTATGAGGTAGAATGTGATGTGAAGTGAAGGTTGAGTAGGGTTCTTGTTGAATTTATGAGAGTTGCAATAGGGTTTTGAATAAGTTTTTCTTAGGCAGAGAGAGTATAGAGTTCAATTTTTTTTGTATTCTTCTCTATTGATTTCCCTCTATTTTTTAATTAGAGTTTAAGTGTTTATGCAAACAGGATTTGAGGAGTTTAGGGAGGTAAATTTCTACCTATTCTTGTCTTCCCTTTGAGAATAAGAGAGGATTGTTTTTGTAGAAGCTGAGAGGTCAAAAATGGGAGGGAAAATGAGTTGCCTTTTGGAGTGGAGTGAGTAGTGTCATTGAAATGTCCTTTTCTCTTGTGTACCTTCTGATTTTTACCATGTGATAATGTCTTCTTGTTTGTACTTTTTCCCTCTCTTTTGCATTTTGAATTTTTGAGTGATTTTGTCTTATTGTTTCTTTGTGGACAACTTTGGGACAAGTCTTGGTTAAGTATGGTATGGTATGGAGTATGGAAAAATGTTTGGAGGAAGATTGATGAATGAAGATGATGATAGTTTAGCATAGGCTTAGGATTTGCAATGATTTTATGTAACTTGTGACTATAGTGTTTATAATGGATCATGAATGTTGCAATATGAAACTTGTAACAAGTCTTGAAATTGGATGAAACTATCTTTCACTTGAATTTGAAATGGATTTTTCTTGAATTATTTGAACTTGCAATCTTGAATTATGCCTTAAAATCAATATGTCTCTTTTTTTTTCCAAATTATAACTTGCATTCCAAGTAGATGCATCCTCCACTTTTGAATGAAAACATGACAAATAAATTTGAATTAATGAACTTGGAATTAGCTTGAAATTTGAATTAATGAACTCAAAACCTTGCATAATGCCTTGTAACTTTGAAGGACATTTGAAACTTGAACTTTAAACAACATTTAATGAAGATGAATTCCTTAAGTTTTCAAGAAACTTGCATTTGAAGAAATCCACATGAATGGAATTGAACTTGTATAATGAATTCCAAACAACTCACATGAATGGACATTCCAACTTGAATCAGTTCTTGAATGATGAATCAAAACATGTGCTTGAAATCTTTAAATGCATACAACTCATATTTTGTGCCATGCTTAATCAATGAACTTCATTCTTCAATTGAATCACAAACTTCGAGAAGCAGCCTAATCCCATTAAGAAACACTTTGACTCAATGACACCTCACCAATCTTTAAACACCTGACAAATATCGTCACAAGAGAAGAACCTCGATCTAATCTGTAGCGGTAAAATTGAGACTAAACCATTGATTGACGTAACTCACAAAGTGAAAGTTGCCACCGAACTTTATTATTCCAAAAAGTAATAGGAAAAGTTCGAATAAAACCCATAAAAGAATAGATATAAAGGTACGGGGGTCGGTTATGCAAAGGAAATGTATTGGCACCTTAAACATCTGTTGTACTCAACGTGATCCACTATATTTGTTTTAATCAAAATAGTGTGTTATCTAAAACTTAAACTTGCCAAGAGAAAATGGATGCATGAAATAATTAAAGAACAAAAAGAAATTTTTTTATTATTGCGCTCGCCTCGGGTTCGAAACCACGTGCCTATGTATCCCCATCGTGCAATAGAGAATCAGAGCACCGTGGTTCTTCTCAAATTTTTTAATTTATTGTATGGTTTTTATGAACGATGTTAATTTCACATTCTACTACAGCTCGACTTTAGAGACTCACACATTGCCGTAGAAAGGAATTGACATGTTCTTGCTTGAAAAGGATTTCAAAAGAAAAAAGCCCAAAGGCATAAGAAATTTTTAATGGTTGAGTGTTTTTGTTCGAAAATATCTCAAATGCTCCTTCAAGGCCAGAGGTATCCGAGTACTTCTCCTTTATTTATGAAAGTATTGGAGATACGTACAATACTAAAGTCTATGACATGAGATACTTTTAGATGGTCGAGTAAGATTCCTCGTATCCAAAGTACTCTCTCTGCACGTGCTTAAGACTCATGATGTACTTGCATGCATCACATTTATTAGTCCTTTTGAATTTGATTAAGAAAAAGTTTTAGTTTTAAGAATGCAATGCAAAAGAAAGAAAAATCTAAGGAAAACTCAAGTCCTAATGTTGTCATGCACAATGGTGGCCCTAAAGTTAGAATAAATGGAATTCTACCTAATTGTTATCATGCTTGGATTAAAGCCCAAGGTCTAATTCGACATAAAACAACCAAAAAGATTAATCGTCTCATGGAACTTCCTAAGGGATAATGGCAATATCACACAATTGCCAAACCAAAACTAAAAGAACTAAAAGTCTATTCTCATATTTATTTGTCATTTTTATCATGTAAGGAAAACCAAACCATTCTAAACAATTAACAAAGTCAATAAAAAAAAACGAAAATGCACTCAAATAAGTCATGGGGTGCAAACAGGATCACAAATGTTTTTTTTGTAGAAATTTCTGATTTAGGCCCAATCCACAAACACATGTCCAAAAATAACTACTCACTTCAGTCAAAAACCAATTATTAAACTTGGGAAGGGGTGTGATTTCGGTCCAGGGGTACATTCAAGTAACAAGGGCCCTAAGGCCCAAACAACTTGAGTCTAGAAGGCTATTTTTGTAACGTAATTCAGGGAAAGCCAAAAATAATGGTCTCGGGCCTTAGTGGTGCAGTGTAGCAACAATTAGTTAATGGCCCACAGGGAAATTCACGGATTGGGGTCCAATTAAAAATCCACTCTCATTTTGTTCATCTAATTATTATTATTGAATTATTGCTAAAAAAAAAAAAGAAATAACAAGAAGAATGAAACAATCAGAAAACGGTGGTGTTTGAGAGGTAGAAAAATAGGGTTAAGCATTGTGACGCTCAAGCTTCACGTGAGAACAGAGTCCTCTTTCTCGCTTCTGAACTCAGCCGCGAACGGCTTCCTCCGTTTTCTTCTATTCGGACCACCGCCTATCTTCTTCGCTCAGCCTTCGGCGGTGCAATCCGCCCCTCGACTTCAACTCCGATTCAATTCCGACGGTGCGGCTTCTTCTCTTCTCAACAAACCGCCACCGGGGGAACAACTTCGCCCGCTGTTTACTCACGTCCATCTCACTTCGACGACACGGTTCTTGGTTTCTAAATTCGTTTCACTCTCAGATTTCAATCGCAAAATTGTTCAACCTCCGCCTTGAGATACATTCGTGGTTCCGTTCTCAAGCGGTCACAGAAGGAAAACGGGAAATACGATAAGAATATCGAAGAACTGTGTGCGGTACTTACCTGTCGGAAACATTCCAGCGCGTCTTCAATTTGTGACTCTGGTTTGCGCTTCGCTCTCAATTTTTCATCTATTTTTGAGTCATGCGATTTCTTCTTCTCTTCTGGTTCTTCTGGTTCCGTGTATGCTCCGCGTTCTTGTGTTGAATTTGATGACGATGTAGTTATTGTTGCTTCAAAAACAGAGAAGTACGGTGATGAAGATTATTGCAGTAGTTGCGGTTGTGGATTCGTTGCGAGATGCAGAAAACCGCGATGGTGATGCTGAAGCAGATTGTGGAACAAAGAATGATGAAAGTTTCAGAAGCAGTGAATTCGGTTATGGACATGGAGATTCGTTGCAGAGTGAAGGTGATGCTGAAGATTGAAGGAAGTGATGATGGAGATTAGAGAGAATCCTCGAGAATCGTTGCAGAAAAGGTATTTACGTCTTGACGGTGAAGCTTCAGCAAAGAGAAAATGGATGTAATTTTCTGAGTTCTTTCTGAGAGTTTCTGTGAATGAAATCCTCACCCGATTCTGTGCATGAATTTTTGTTATATAGTTGCAAAGTTTGTTACAGGTGAATTGATCTGAACCCTTAATTCTGAAAGTTTGTTAGAGAATTAGATGGTTAGGATTGAATCTGTTATGAGTTAGTTATGCTATCCTTTTTTGTTTTTGAATTTTGAAACTGAGCTGTTATAGTTATTTCTGATTTAATACTTCCTCTAATTTTCTCACGGCTTTTTTACTCCTATTTTCTGTTTTTCGTTCTGAACCGAAGCAGGGCGCTTAGGATAGATGCAGGGCTGGTTTTGAGATGATATTTTGAACAAGTTTTCAACAACTTTGGAGCTGTTTTGGTTCAACATGACACAAGCAAAAAATGGCAATTTTGGACAGCTTTTTAACAAGAGTTTAGGACTGTTTTTAGCTCAAGTTTATGAACAGTTTGAACAGATTTTGGAGCAAAATTGAAACAAGGTTTTTGAAGATTTAGAAACAATTTAGCATAGGTTTTGTAATGGCATTTTGTATGTCTTTTGATCATTTGAAGGATGATGATGATATTAGTTTGTAATTGAACTTGAATGTCATTTTGGATGAATGAACGAAAAAGGCCTTGTATTTCTTGAATTGGCTCTTAAGAATCTTGAAATTTGTATGCTAAGCAAACTTTGATCCATGATATATACTTTTGGAATTTCACTTAGAATTATGTCTTGAAAATGCTTGAAAACTTTGAATGATATTGAACTTTTGACAACTTGAGATCAATGGACTTGAACTTTGAATTTTGAATCAATTGGAATTTGAATCTTCCACTTGAAATTGAAAGTGATCTCATGCTTTGAATATTGTTTAAAATGTTGTATTATTTTGCCTTGGTGGCTTGAATTTTAAGAAATCAACCATGGATGGATCTTCCAATTTTCTTTCAATCTTAGCATGAATAAACTCTTGACAAAACATGTGCTTTAGAACCTTAATTAATCTTGAGACCATGTGTTGTACCCTAAAATTTGTCCTCCCTTTTTCTCGAGACATTTCTCACAAGGATTTTCAAAAGGGCAGGTTTGTATAAGTACAATTGAATTTTTGACTTTCAGATATCAAATCAAAGAGGAGCAAGTTAGCCTTGATTCATAAGCTTCGATTGTGCATCTGAAATCCTTTGAGTGAGCCTTTGTTTCAAAGTCTTCGATTGGGCATCTGAAATCCTTCGAGCGAGCTTTTGTTTCAAAGTCTTCGATTGGGCATCTGAAATCCTTCGAGCGAGCCTTTGTTTCAAAGTCTTCGATTGGGCATCTGAAATCCTTCGAGCGAGCCTATGTTTCAAAATCTTCGATTGGGCATCTGAAATCCTTCGAGTGAGCTTTTGTTTCAAAGTCTCCGATTGAGCATTTGGCCTCCTTCGATGCAAGCTTGGTTCATCATTTTCGATTGGGCATTTGACCTCCTTCGATCAAATCTAATTCCCAAAGCTTCGACTGAGCATGGGCTGCTTCAGACTTGCTTTCGATTCACTAGGCAAATACTTCATTCACGCCTGCCTTCGATTCAGAAGACAATGACCCCTTACAGATTCGCTTCGACCCATAAGACAAGTGTCTCATGATATGCTTGCTTTCAACGCACAAGGAAAAGGCTTCCTCTTCATGCCTGCCTTTGATCCACAAGGCAAAGGCTTCCTCCTCATGCCTGCCTTTAATCCACAAGGCAAAACACTTCCCCAGACTTGCCTTCGATCCACTAGGCAAAGACTTCTTCATGCTTGCCTTTGATTCACAAGGCAAAAGACCCCTTCAACTTGCTTTTGATCCACAAGGTTAAGGCAGCTTCAAATTTCCTTCGATTCATAAAGCAATGGCTATCTGCATGCAAGCTTCGACTAGGCAATGTCTATCTCCAAACCTACTCTGACTCCACCTCTAAAACCCATCAACATAGTTTTTACACTTTGACACATAGTAAGGGTCATTCGAAGAAACATTCCAAAGGGTCATTCGAAGAAACATGCAAATGGTGCCTTCGAAGGATATACATTTGGAACATTCAAAGGACACATAAATGGTGCCTTCGAAGGACATACATGTGGTCTATTCAAAGGACACATAATTGTGGGAAACTAGTTTGTTTTATGATGAGTCTTCGTCCAATATGTTTGTTGGCCAAAATCCTACATGCTGCCAAGCCCAAGCCTCCTGCATAATTATATTCGAAGGAGGTAACAAAAGAAGCTTCGACTGACCATAAATGAGTTTTTGATTGGGCTAGTTGAAAAGTTTCAGATCAAGCTACTAAGGCAGATAGTGGTTTAATCGAAGAAGCCATGATGATGAGGCCTGGAGCCATTCGAAGGAAGCAACTCGGGCCAATCGGAGAACCGAGTGTGGAGGCATTCAAAGGAGTCAGGGATGTCCAGGTTCATCCCAAAACCCAAAAGGGTAGGAATCCATCAAAAATGGAAATCCTTTAATTTGTCTGATTTTGCCTTCAAAGCATGGTTAAAGGTTGTCCCTTGCCATTTCCATTCCCCTCTGCACCCCTATAAATACAAGCCTAAGGACACATTGTCAGAGGATGAAAAAAAGAGATAAGCAACACACGTAAGTTGCCTAAAAAAATACTACACACACACACTGCCTGAAGAAAACCACCAAACTTCTCAAAATCTCCAAAGGTTGTCGAAATTGAAACAACCCTTAAACAAGCATACACACGCCTGAAGCCAGAGATCCATACATCACCGTTGGTAAGAATTGACAAAAGATCAAACTTTACATTTGCATGACATATTAACCCTTATAGTTCGTTCAATTTGTATTCAGAACTAAGGACCTGGCTTCGACACCCAGGTATGCATTTGTTTTTTTCCTCTAACGCTTGTATTGCAGATTCAGCCTAAACAGATAAACGCGCACAGGATCGAAGGACCTGAGTTCGATACCCATGTGTTAGCTCCTAAATTCGACACCTACAACAAGTTGGTCTTACGGGCCAAAAATAGATTGAACAAATCTAAGTTGGAAAGGCTTCGACAAAGTAGAAAAGTACTTAGAGAAATTCTAAGTTAAAATGAGTCTTCGACCAGAAGGTTCTCAATCCCTTCAACTGAAAGGACTCCAAGGTCTTCGACCAGAAGGAAACTTCGTATCTGCACCAGAAGATTTTGAATCTGAAGAAAGGAGGGAAAAGCAGTTCGCTTGGAAGTTGAGGAAAGCAACGTGGCATGAAGAGAGGGGTCGAAGCGCATATAGAAGACACTTGTCTTCATCCTAGAGCAAGGCAACTCCTCGACGGTTACCTAGTTTTAGTATAAATATAGGAAGTGTATGTAGATTTCCGGGTGTTCAAATGATCGTATAAATTATTCAATATTATTTAAGTACCCGCCGCGTGAGAAAGAATATTGAAAAATGTACGTTTGAAACACCACATTTTGCAATCAAAGTCTTTTATTTCCCTCTTTACATTTCTTGTCTTTTTATCCTGTTTGCACTTTATCTGCACTTTTACCCAGATTCCTGCACCTAACCTCTCCTCGATCCCTTTGTTCTATCTACTTTCTGCACTCAAACTCACCCTTTCTCAGTCGAACGTGCGTTATTCACTCACATTAACGTTTATGTCCAAACAACATCAAAAATTAGAATATGTCCTAGGATCAAACTGATTGATCCTGCGAGTAACCAAAAAGTTACTCTTTTTGGAAGATCAGCTGTTGTTTACCAGAAAACACGGTGAACAAATTGGCACACCTGGTGGGACGTTGCTGATTACTGTTGTTTTATTTATTTTGTCTTCCGTTCTTGCTTATTAATTTTAATATAAATGCTTCGCATGATTTTCTTTCTTTTATAAAGTTTTGCATGCTATTAAGAAGTGGTAAAGTAACCACCAACGAGTGTACAACTAGAAATAGAAATAGTGAAAGCAATATGGCTAATCAACCAAATAATGGAGAAATACCTCCACCAATTACTACGGGAACAACGGTAATACCAACCGTTAGTGAAATTGTCTCGTCAACTGTTGGTTCGACACCAACGTTGACAACAACCCAAACGGGACCAATACTTTCGTATACAGGTCCCAGAGGTCCAACAGGAACACCCCCACCAAGGGTGAATTCAGGATTTCGACCACACGCTCCCCCAGGATTTTCGACAGCCTGGATGGGTCGAGACCAGCCTTATGGCATGCCAACTACTGAAATGGCTAGCCTTATGAATGTTGCGTCTACATTTTCAGAATCTTTGGTAAGTGCGTCTTCGCCATTACAGGAATCTGGAAATGGTATGGGTAGGAACCAACTTTTAAAAGGGACATCCCATGCAATGCCAAGCCTCACAAACGCTTCCACAACAATTTTGAGGCAACAGATGGATGAAAGCAACCATGACATGGTGCAAATGTTGTCCCAAACTCT